TCTCCTCGAGTCTCTGGCTCTTGTTGCTTCCTCTCTTCTCTGAGAAGCAAGCTGTAAGTGGCAGCAGGGAGAGCAGCAGCAGCAGCAGCAGCATCAGCAGCCAGTCTGTCGGGTCCAAGGTGTTTCGTTTCGCCAGCCGACAAGCTCCACGCTGAAATCTTAGCGTCCCGCGTGCCCACTCGGCCTTTTTCCCACTGCAATTGCTTCAGCTTCAGTACCTCTTCGCCGCTTCACTGCATTGGCAGTGATTGATTCTCTTCTGTCAACAACGACAACAACGGCAGGCGCCTGTTTTATTTTTATTTTTTTTACACGTTCCGGGCGATCACCGCTCCGGCTGTGGCTGCCCCTTAATTGAGACAAGCTCCAACCTACGCCAAAAAAAACCCCCGGAGAAGCTCCAACGCTGGCGCTCCCGCGGTCGACCACTGAAGACGGATTGGCCGTTGAGTGCCATACAAACTCAAAATGGCGCCCTCTTTAACAGCCCACACTTCCTTCACCCGTCCGAGAACCAGCGACCGTGATCACCGCGACGGACGTCCTGTCACCCGTGATCAGCAAGACGCCAACCTCGTCATCCCGAGCCGCACCTCGTCCCTCCATTCCCGCATTACCCAGCCGATTCCTGGCCAGTTGAGCGCCAAACCTCAGCAGCGCACTCCCAAGACCCTTACTCATGCGTACATGGTCTGTGGTGTCGGCCGGGAGCCTTCGCAATGGGTGAAGGCTCCAACGCCCCAGCAGGGCAAGATTGGCCACATGAAGGGTGCCGTTCCTCAGTTCTGGCTTCCCGAGATTCTTGGGAGCAGTCCCAGGCTCGAGCAGGACAATGAGATTGCTCGTGCTTTGCACTCTGCTATGAGGGTATGTCATGGAAACTTTCCCAAATTTGCTGCTGGATGTGCTTATTAACCCGTCGATGTAGGCATGCTTCCCCCACGATGTCGAGATTTGCACCGGCAGAAGCCAGCCTCACTGCGTCCACCACGCCTTTGTGCTCCAGCAGGATTCCTCCCACACGCTCTACGGTATCTGCCTGCGGGTGTGGTCCCGCGCCGATGACAGGCGAGCCGAGACGATCCGCGATCTCAGGAAACGCACCGAGCCCGACTTCTACGACAACCCGGACGAGCAGTACTGGATCCCCTACTGCCTTTCGTTCCTCTCCCGCTACCCGCTGTACAACTTGCTCGGCGACTATCTGCGTGGTATGTGGATTCACTGGAACAAGGCTACTAACCTTTTTCACGCCGAGGAGGTTTCCCGAATTCTGAGTTTTCCCGCCCCTCGTCTCAACGATTTGGTTCGCATCGACATGAAGGACTATGCGCTCTGCTACCAGTTTCCTTCTTCGCCCACTGGTTTCCAAAACTTTGCCATGTGGCCCTTGTTCTGCTGTCTCTCGGTTCCCAACATTGTTGGTGTGATCGAGGCTGCCATTTCGCCCACCCGCCGCATCATTTTTGTCAGTCATTACCCAGCCATGCTCACCATGGCCGCCGAGACTGTCAGATTCTGTGTGCGCGTATATGAGTGGAGTGGTCTCTATGTCCCTGTTGTGCATGCTCGCCATGCCAAGGACCTTGTCGAGGAGCCTGGCCCGTACATCCTCGGTATCACTGCTGAGTGCAGAACGCTCTTCACTGCGCCGACAGATGCTCTGGTGGTGGATCTCGACCGCAACTTTGTGCTCACTTCCAACCCCCCCTCTGCGCTCCAGCCTAACCAGCGCACCAAGTTCATCACCCGCCTTACCCAGGCTCTAAATGGTGATGTAACACCATCGGGTGTTCCCCAGCACTTGCGTTCTGCGTACGGCGGCGGCAAGCTTGTCCCCGCGGGTCAGATTATTGTCATGCGTGGACAAGTTGAGTCTATTCAGGACCCTGAATGGTGGAATCAAGATGCCGTCATGTCGGTGATGGACCATGTGTGCGAGAAGATGGGCCGCAACACCGGCCTGAAGGCTGTTTTTGGAGGGTCGGTCAAGAAGCCACTGATGACCAAGGTTTCCATGCGGCACTTGAACGAGATTGTCCGTGAACGTAACCAGTACTCACGCGACGCGTTGGAGGCCTGGCAGGATTTTATCAACCTTAAGGGGCGGATGGACACCGAACTCGGCAAGGTCAACAAGCGGAACAACTACCTTATGGAGGAGTGCGACAATTGGAAGCAGCAGTTCCAGCGTTTCCAGGCCTTTGCTGACACCCTCACCAAGGAGACCCAAGATCTCAAGGTCAAGATTGAGACGCACAAGCGCGAGAACCGTCGCCTGGGCAGTCTTATTGATCAGCAAAAGGACGACGCCGCTCGTCTTGCCAATCGTCTGGCTGGCACCGAGAAGCAGCGTGACGATGCTCTTGAGGCTCTTGTCCTCCAGCAGGAGATTGCCGAGGAGCTTGAGCGCGAGCGTAAGAGGAATCGCAAGGAGCTGTCAACGCTCCAGACCACCAACACAGCCATCTCAAGACAGCGTGACGAAGCCCGCCGTGTTGTGCTTCACCTGCGTAGCTTGATTTCTGGCCAACATCACCACATGGAGCACCTCGTGAAGACTCTGACGTCTCCCGAGGAGCTCGCTGCTGAGATTGAGGCTGGCTTTGCTGCGCAAGACGCCGTTGATGCGGTTGAAGGCATGTTGTTTATTCCCCGCTGTAAAAGAATCTTTCAGACTAACAAACATGTAGCCCAAGCTGCTGGCGAGTCTAGCAATGACGAGCGGTTCCTCAAGAACCTGAATGCTGCTAGCAGACGAATCTCTACGCAAGCATTCATCGACGTGGCGGATCGGCACCTCAAGGACAAGACCGATGCCATCGCCCATATCATCCGGAACATTTCGGAACAGTGTCAGGCCGCTGTTGAAGGCCTCCAACTTGCACATGACGCGGAGCACGGGAGGTCGGATTCTTCGGCCTCCCGTTCTTCGCGGTTGTCGAAAAGTCGCCGAGGGAGTAATATCTCCATCGCCCGGTCCGACGACGATCGCAGCTCGGCGGCAACGTCCGATGTCAGTGATGACCATACCCTCCTCCGACCGAACAGCGGGCGGCTCTCTAGCATCCCACCCACACCGGATCTCGTTCCCAACCGCAGCAGCACTAGCATGTCTTTCGCTAGCACGGCCACGACCCCTGAGCGAGGCTCTCAGCACTACCTCCACGGACACCATGACATCCCCACCAAGATCGTCGAGGACGACGAGGACGATATCGACGGATCTCAGTCTGATGTCCACTCCGTCCCCCAGGAAGCGGGAGTCGTGGGCAAGCACTCGGAGAGCCTGATCCACAGGCCTTCTGGTGCCCGCATCAGCGCCCTTGGCGGCCTCGGTCGCTAAAGGGTAGCCGGTGATGGTGGATGTAAACAGCATGATTTTTTCAACGGCGGTCATTTGGTTCATTTGTACATTGTCTCTATACCACTTTTGCGACGAGTAGGAAGGGTTCTATTATTTCTCTGGACGACGACGATTCATTTGCTTGCGGAGAAGGGGCGAGGCCTACTTGCAGCCTGGCGTTTTTATTTCTACCATATTTTGTATTTCCCTTTATACCAACCAAGCTCCTCTTTTCTTCTCGCGATCTTTCCTAGCAACACACAGCCTAGCTTTATTCCCCATGTCAGCTGTCTTTTTTTTTCTCCTCACAAATGCTTACGACACTCACACTCACACACAAACTTGTTATTCTCTTTTCGAATGAATAAGGGGAGGATTGTGGAGGAAAAAAAAGAAGGTGGGGGTGGAGAAAGGCGGAGGTGGTGAGGAGTGGGAATGGAAATGAGGGAGAAAGAAAGGGGGGAAAGGGTTTAATTTTCTATCTTGATATCCATTCTGTATGTTTTTTTAGCAGCAGCTCATGAATGACCCTTTTTTTTTTGGTAGTCTTGTTGTTGTTGTAGTAGTAGTTAGTAGGTGAGGAATGATAAGCCGGTGGTTTTTTGGTAGATTCAGTGAACTTGTGCTTTATAATGTGATCTCCAGGAACACTTTGGCCGTATTGTGTTCAAGTCACCTAGACATGTTGATAGAATTATCATTTGATACCCGTCCCCTTCCTTGACAGACATGTATTTTTCTTTTCTGGAAACCTGCTGCTTTATTTGATAAACAGAACACTTGAAACTCCCCTCTCCTTCTCACCAGAATAACAACAAGTCCTTAATTGCCAAAACAAACATCTCCTTTTCATAACAGAATTGGCGTACAACTTTTCGTTCAGCATCGTCCTTTTTCAGCATAAAGGTCCCCTGCGTATATACGTCGAGTTCAAAGCACGAAAATAACAAGCTTGTCTAGAAAGACTTGACAAAAGACTAGGTTAGACAGAGTAGCGCGCGGGGGGGTGATATTGGAGAAAAGATCCCTACACTTCAAGGCCATTGTTTTTCATGCGTGAAGAATGTGTGTTCTCTATTCTAGCTAGATTTCCTGGTTTTCTTCTCGCAAGTCTACAAGTCTACAAGTACGGGCTTTTCTGCAAGTGTTGCCCTCTCTGCAAGGCTTGTAGCCAATGCAAGGCTTAGAAGACCTGCAAGGTCTGCAAAGATGTAGGAGACTGACAAGAGGAGGTATAGATCATGCCTTTTCTGTCTGGGTAGGCATTTGACCTAAGGTAGGTAGGTATGAGACGCCTTTAAAGATCTTCTATTAAAACCTCTACCCTCACAACCTATCCACACTCATCTCAGCAGCCATTCTCATCTCACAACTTACATATACATTCGCTCATCTCATCTATGACCTTTTTAAAGACCGCTATGGAAGAGTGTAGTAATGTATGCCTCACCCACCACATCATTTGGTGGGGGAAGGAAAATGTATCAAAGAAGACAAAAGAAACCAATAAAAGGACAGTGTAATCACAACTCATAAAAACGCCATCAATGCCAATCCATCCACCCACCAACCACCCCGCCTGATTGTTTCCCTATCGTTCCAATCTACGCTATCGAAAAACACACCCAACCAACCCATTATCGTTTCATCTTCTTCATTTCTCCTCCGATGACGTCCTCGCTGGCGCTGGTGGTGGTGGGGCAGGCGGTGGTGGACCGCCACTCCCACCATCACCATCATCACCCAGCCCTGGCAGAGGCAGACCTGGCTCCAAGGGATCGGTTGGTGCTTGCACCGTCATGGGGCCAACGGGCACAGCAATACGGTCCGTGAGCTTCTCGCCACGGAGGACCTTGACTACCTCGTCGTGGTCAAGAGTCTCGTACTCGACAAGAGCCTTAGCCAACAGGTCGAGTTCCGTCCTCTTCGACAGGAGCAGCGCACGGGCGCGGGCATAAGAGTCATCCAGGACCTTCTTGACCTCGGACTCGACCATGGCGCGGGTTTCCGAGCTGAGTTCATTATACTTGCGGAGGTATTCAACGGGGCCAAGCTTGGGTGACATGCCGAGCTGGGCAACCATGTGCCAGGCGGTGCGAGTGGCACTGTCAAGATCCTAGGTAAATGTGTTAGCACTTCATATCGGGTCCAACATGGACGCGGCGGGTACACTTACAGCACTAACACCGCTAGTGACAAACTCGCTGCCGTACACGATCTCCTCTGCAACCTTGCCACCAAGGGCACGGTCGATCATGGCAAGATAATCTCTTACAGTGTAAGAGTACTTATCCATTTCCGGGAGGAAGGCGGTGTGACCCAAGCTTTGACCGCGAGGCAAGACTGTGACCTTGTAGAGATGGCTACCGCCCTCTTGCTTGTTGAAGAAAGCAACAAGGGCGTGGCCGGCCTCGTGGTAGGCAGTCATCTCCTTTTCCTTGGGAGTGATAACCATGCTCCGCTTTTCAGCGCCCATGATGACCTTGTCCTTGGCCCATTCCATATCCTTCTGTGTGACGACCTTGTTCTTGAGCTTGCTGGCGTGGATGGCGGCTTGGTTGACGATGTTTTCAAGTTCAGCACCAGAAAGACCAGAGGTACGGCCGGCAATGTCCTCCATACGCACATCGGCAGCCATCTTGATCTTCTTGGCGTGGTGCTTGAGGATGGCAATGCGGCCTCGGACATCGGGGAGAGAGACGACGACATGACGATCGAAACGGCCAGGACGAGTCAAAGCCTTGTCGAGAGATTCGGGGAAGTTGGTGGCCGCAATGACGATAACGCCGCTGTTCTGAGAGAAACCGTCCATTTCGGTGAGAAGCTGGTTCAGCGTCTGCCGGACATAGGTAGCATCGCGAGAGTTACGCTTGCCGCCAATAGCGTCCAGCTCATCAATGAAGACAATGGAAGGAGACTTGGCCTTGGCCGCATTGAAGAGCTCGCGGACACGCTTGGCGCCCACGCCGACATAAATCTCGTCGAACTCACTGCCAGACATGAAGAAGAAGGGCACACCAGCCTCACCGGCAACAGCCCGAGCCAAGAGAGTTTTACCAGTACCGGGAGGTCCGACAAGCAACACACCCTTGGGGAGCTTACCACCAAGTGTGTTGAACTTGTCGGGGTTGCGCAGGAAATCGACCAGCTCCTGAAGTTCCTCCTTGGCCTCATCGCAGCCGTGAACGTCTGAGAATCGAGCCTTTTGGTTTTCGGCCTTGGCCTCCATAGTGTCAACCTTGGCACCAGGTCTCTTCAGCGAACTAACTGTTTCAACGACCATGGTCATAACCACGAGACTGACGTAGGCGCACAAACTGAACCAGAGCATAAACTTAAACCACCGGAAAGCAGCGCTACCGAACGATTCGTCGACGATAACATGAAGCGCACCGCCCTTTCCAGTAACGCCAGCAGAGACAGCGACATTGCCGCCGTTGCGCTGAGCGGCAATTGCTTGTCCAGCAGCTGCAGCCTGCTCACTGATTCCCGCAGAGGCCTGACCGGCACTGCCAAGTGTTCCAGCAATCATGGCAAGCGCCTGGTTATATGCTTGCGTGGCACTTTCGTTGGCAGCAAAGCGTCCTGTGGTAAAGTTAGCGTAGTCAACAGAACCTTGAGAGGGAAAGACATACCAGACTGATACCGTTCCACTACTATGGCAGGCATGTTGGCCTTGAGCAGGAGCTGGTAAAAGCTGGCCTGGGTAGGTGCGCTTTGGGGATTCCGGTTGGCGGCAGCCTCGGTGCGAGAAAGGAGGTGGTGAGGAACCAAGTTGGAGTTACCAAAAGACCGATACTGAACATTTCGAGGCGGGAGAGCATCGAGCGTCTTGAGCGCAGGCCAGGAGACAGACTGCATACGGATCGGGGGGCGAGTGGTGCTCATGAAGCGAAGACCGGGGACGGTGCCGAGGGGTCGACGGGCCATCAGGGCAGCGTGAGAGCTGCGGATGAGGGGGTTCGCCATAGCGATGGAGCCGGGAGACATTGTAGATAATACCGAGAGAATGTTGGTAGACGATACATTTGCCTGAGAAGATGTTTCGAGAGCGAGCTTTGCCAGTGGAGCGTTGCGCATGAAGCTAGGAAGCTTGGTCGTCGAGGATGTCGGGTTTGGTACAGGAGCAGCCGAGACACGGGCGTGCTGCGTCGTCGAGGAAAGGACGGCCAGGGACTTTGTGATGGACGGCCACAGTTCCGACGTCGCCGCTGCGATGCTCTGAAGATTACGGCATCACGTCAGTGGAAGGTCAAGATGGAAGGTGGGAGGCGGGGCATCATACCGGCAGCCCACTTGCGTGGAGAGCCATTGCTGTTGTTGTTGCGACCACTCTCACTCTAACAGCAACTGTTCACGTCCCCTAGAAAAAGGAATGCGGGATGAGATTGGAAGACAAACTCGAAGATGATGCAAGGCCAGACGTTGGGAAACATCTGCTCAGCGCCGGCTGGCCACTCAACACTCGGTCCCTCAACGGCAGGCCTTGGCAGTGGCCAGAGCACCCTGAGCCACCCGGCTCCACCACCCCGGTATTTCCCCGTTGGAGGGCCCACTCTTTTCGGCAAGCTACACGTGACCTGGCGTTGCGCCTTCTCGTCCCTTACTCGCGTTTCGCGTCTGAGTCCAGCTCACACACGAAATCATGTCTATGAACTGATGGCCATTAATGACGGTGTTTTTGTCACAGAACTTTGGAATTGAATGAGCTCACTTACTTTCTTACATTCTTCCCTTACTTATTTAACTTGGTTAATATCTCAGCTTTCATCACAACTCTCACCTCACTTGCACTCAACATCTTCACTTAACCCCGACTCATAGGGGCAGCATCGCCACAATGAACCGCTCCATCGAGCAAGCCCTCCTTTCCCTCATCCCAACCCACAACGCCGCCCTCCCCCCACAACTCACCGAGCTCGCCAGCTCCCTCCTCGCCCAATCCCGTCACAAAGCCAGCACCCTCAAAGCCGAAGAGGAAATCGCCCGCCCCTACGCCTGTGCCCACATCGCCTGCGAAAGACTCAAAACCACCCTCAACTTGCCCCCTATTGAGCCCCGGCCACCCATCCCGCCACGCATCTACAAACGCCTCTACAGCCATCTCGACAAAATCCTCCCATCTGGCACTGGAACCCCAGGGCGAGGAACATCAGCTCGCGGTGGTCTTGAAGGTCGTGTCCGCACACCGAGCACAAAACTAAGAGAACAACTTGCGCCGCTTGGTACCTCACCACAAGCAAGCAAAAGCAGGCCTCTACCAGGGAGAACAACGCCAAGCAAGGAGAAGTCGCTAGCGGACTTTCGGGACAGTAACGCAGATGGCACGCCTTCAAAGAAGAAGTTAGGGACCACCCCCCAGTCAAAAAGAAAGCCACCACCTTTACCGTTATGGATCCGGCCAACGCTGCGGTTTTTATGCAAGGAACTCGGCCCAGCCAGTATCGGCCCTATCGTGGCCTCCGGGATTGAGTCTATCGTTTGTCCCAATGGCAAACCGACAGAGGACGAGTGGGTGAAAATCAACCTGGTCTCGTTACTCGGTGCTCTGTATCTGTTTGTCTGGCGAGGCGTTACGTTTCCCGGCCAAGATCTGGATCAGTCGACGAGATCTTTCACCTGACCATAACGTCGTGTCCCACGCCTCAATAGAGCCAGGAAGGAGGTCGAGGTCAATGTTAAGGACGGTGATGCTGAGAAGGCGTGGGAGTGGTGGTATGATGTCAAGCTCAAGGATCTGGATATGTCTGCCTTGGTGATCAACCGTCATGGTTGGTTGGAGTTGGACTGGGCAAAGGGCGTGCAGGATTTGGTGCATATGAATGAAGAACGAGCACGGGATGATGAGGAGGATGCAGAGAGAGAGGAGAGGAACGCGGAACCCGTCCAGCTCAGGCGGGCGGATACGATGTTCCAGGAGAGATACGACTTTCTCACTGACAGGAAAAGGAAGGCGTATGCTGAGTGGAAGGAGGGGATCATGAAGAGGATCAAGGCGCAGGGCTGAGCCCCGCCATCCATCACGATCCAGAATTTACAACAATATCATATACTGTATTCCAACGCTATCAACGGTGTTATATCTAAGCAGAAACCTCGACCCTCTTCAAACTCCTCACCGTATCAACAATGCTCCTCTCTAAGCCAATCCACTCAATCCCCAACAACCTCGTCGTCTCACTATTATCATACCCAAACCTCTTATCCTCCTCCGGCAATTCTCCCCCCTTGACCCCCTCCTCAGGCAATTTCTCCTTATCCTCTGGAAAGTTCTTCCTCAACACCTCCGCGATTTGAGCGTTGGAAAACCACCCCGAAACAACAAACAGCCTCTTCCCAGCTACCCCCTCCACAAGTCCTAACCCAGCCCTTACGTGAGCAGTCGCCACATCCCGTACATCAACCCAGATGTAAGCCTGGCCCGTCGGGGGTATCTCCCCCTTCCACTTCCCCTTGATGGCATCCACGATCCTCTCATTAGAAGTGTTGATCGCCTCGAGGGTAGCAAGATGGTGGACCACCGGCCCGAAGACCATCGGCGGGTTGATGGTGACCAAGTCAAACTTTGCGTCATTCTCCTTGTTCTGCACAAACTCCCAGGCGGCCTTTTCCGCCAGGGTCTTGGAGGCGCGGTAGGCGGTTGCTGGGTTGCGGTGGATGTCATCTATCGTGACCGGGTTCCATGATTTTTCGGAAAAGACGGTGGAGGGGTCGGAGACGTGAGCCTCGTTGATTATAGCTGCAAAGGAGGAGGTCACGACGACGCGGCGGACGGAGGGGGCGAATTTGGTAATGGCGGAGAGGATGGAGGTTGTGCCGATGAGGGCGGGGTCGATGAGCTCTTTCTTTGGGTCGTTGAATTTGAAGTGGAAGGGGGAGGCGGTGTGGAGGACTACTTCGAGGCCGGAGCCGTGGGTTTGGAGGACCGAGTCGAAGGCGTTGGGTTGGGCGATGTCGGGGACTATGGCGACGGTGAGGTGGCCGGAGGTGGTTTGGGAGGGGTAGGCGGAGGTGATGGCGTCGGCTTTGGATTGGGAGCGGACGGTTGTGATGACGGTGTGAGAGGCGGAGAGGAGTTGGTCGAGGATGTGGGCTGTGGTGTTGTTGTTGTTGTTGTTAGTAAACTGAGCGCCGGGATGGTTGATCGGAGCTGGTCCGGTCCGGGGAAGACTCCACCGCCGGCAACGGATCCGACCGTGTGTGTGTGTGTGCACGATGAATCTTTAAACGTGGTGATGATGAGATCACATACCCGCAATGAAGCCGGAGCCGCCTGCAGTCTACGTCAGTATATGATGCATGCCATCAAAAGATCAAAATCAGTGAGCCGCTCACCAGTCAACAGAACCTTGGTCATTTTGATCGATTTCTTTCTCCTCACGTTTCCCTCTTCTCTTTGTGTGCGTATCGTGATGCTCAAGTGACGCTGTTGATGAGAACTCAAGCAAGAGATGAGGCAATGACGATGTGTTTATATTTATACCCATGTACATCACCACTCCCTCCTCAACCCCGCGTTGCCTTTTTCCCCCCACCAAATGCTGCAGTGGGGTTGATTTAGCCCGAGATGTTTGTTCGGCACAATTCGCAATCGCACACCATCATCGCATTGTTCTTCCTTACGTGATCAGCGTTGGGAAGCAATGTCCGGTTGTTATCTCCGGTCGGCATCTCTTCTTTTGGACACTATGACGAGGAAAAGTTGACCCGGTGAGCAGCATTTGCAAGATCTGTGAGCTGGGGTATATCGAACTACCAGGATAACCTGCTGTCATTTCATCATTCATCACCCATCGCCTATCCTTCTCCAAAATGAATAAAGAAGCGACCGGACATATCGCTCTTCTTATTTCACAACATATCGTGGAAATAAGCCTTCACGACACCAAAGAAATCCGACCAACACATCCAGTCATATAACCCTAACACTGCTTCTCCCCTTTTACCCCTGATCACCACCATACAGCCAGAAATACCATCCCAAACCATTACATACGACCATACCCACCAGAATACTCGGCATCCCGTCCGCTCTGCCCTAGATAAACTGGTGAGGGCCGAACCAGTACTCAGGTGGGTGACCACTGGGGAATCCTCGGTGTTGTATGTCTTTTTCCTGTTTTTTTCCTCAGTCTCATTGTCCACACATGAACCCATCTCCTGACCCAAACCGTCACATACGACCACACCCAGCTGAAAATACGGCATCCCGTCCGCTCTGCCCGAGTCAAACAGCTGAGGGCCAGATCAGTACTCAGGTCGGTGACGACTGGGGAATCCCTGGTGTTGTATGTAATCTTTTGCCGGAATCTTCTATTTTTTTGGGTGATTCTGGTTGTTTGTTGTCTTCATTTCCTGTTGCGTTGGAAGACAAGAGTCTCTTGACCTCAAACTCGCTGCGTTTCTACTACCGTCATCATCAAGCGGTAAAGCGCGAGATGAAGTATCCTAGTCTCGTGTCCACTGACGTGCAGGGTCCTTGGTGGTGGAATGGCTAGTCGTGTTTTTGTTGGAATTTATGTAGCTTTGTGGTGTCCTTGACGATGTTTCGAGTTGGTTGAATGGAAAAACCAATTTCTTTTGATTTGACAGTGGTGTTCCTGCTGAGTTCGACCACTTCTACTGTTGTTGTTGTGGTTGTTGTTGTTGTTGTTGTTGTCAGAGGTGGCTTAGTATCTGTGCTTTCGTCTTTTGACATCGGAGTTTGTGTCGAGGTCTCATTTGCAGCCTCATTCTTTGGAGGTGCAAATGTGAGTGATTTGAGGAGTTCATCGGGCTTCGTCAAGGGAATACGCTTGTGGAAATCGGACCATGATCCATTGCCGGAGTTCTTGAAGGCGAGGCAATGGAGGTGCAGTGTCTCATTGGTTATCCACTCCAGATCTTTGCGGTGTGATGCATTCTTCTTGACTCTCTGGTCGAAGCAGCTCTGCAGAGGTTCGAGAATTAATGACAGAATAATGATGATAGCGCCTAGAGCCAATGCGAGGGATAGTCCGAATGTACTAAAAAAGGTATGTTGCCGGCTTTGTATCTTTTGCAGTCGACTAGTCAGCGCATCAAATGCCACCAGCAAGAGAGAATGGTGAACCTTGCCCGGCTATAGCACATGTCCCGCTGATAAGAGCTGTTCGGCAAGACACGATACGAATGAAGAACAAAGTCTTTCGGCCCAGTGACTGCTTCCACCACCGCAAGCTGCAGCTCAAAATGACCATATATTTGTGACGTCTGTTTTCCATTGATGGTCGTGTATCAAGGGTATCAATCCGGAACGCAGAGTCCGGTAAGAGAGCAGACGATCCACGCCTGCAAAAACGACCGTTTCGAACGGGGGTAGGCAATCAAAGTGCTCTCGATGATATCAAGACGCCACTCGAAAAGGCTCATTATATCGGCAGAAGATTCAACCTCATCTTCGAGTTGAAACGCGCCGGCTCTCACATCGAGCCAGCTACCAAGCTGCCCACAACGGCCGTTTGGAGGGGGGGAGCCTCAGCAAATCTGATACTGCTGGGCACAAGCCAAGGGCGACGCGGCTTCCCGGAGTTTGTAGAGCTGTATTGTGGTACTGGTGCCCCTGTGGTCAGTGCCACGTACGACCGACTCAGGGAGATCCGCCTGGTACCATTTATCTTGATAAAGCCCGAGACTGTCGGCGCCGTTACCGACAAGCAAAATGATGGAAACATCGGCATCAGCGCGTTGTAAAGCTGGGATGGGATAAAAGTCGGAGATCTTTGACACAGTGATTCCGTTCCTATTGATAGCGCCCATCACACTGTGTTTAACATGTATCAGTTATGTCCATGGTTTCCACAGAGGTTGCAGCTCACATAAGACTTGGAGGAGACCCAATCCCGTGCTCCCAGTCGCCTAGCTGAAGATTCTAGAATGTCACGCTCGGAACCTTCAAAGTATAATTCATCTCGCTGTTTGGATCTACGGGCGAATCACGTGGAAGATATGTCAAACCGTAGTAATACGCTGGGAAGTTCTCTTGAATATTGGTTTTGTATCCTTCGGTCCGAAGTGGCGCACAATGGGCAACAGTCCGGGACAGCAGTCGGTTCTTTTCTGGCGAGTTAATGCCGAGATGATCGTGACTGTCGATATAACCGGTATCGAGAATTATGTTTGATGACTCATTTCGACATATCCCATCACTGAAAGGACACGGCGCAATTGGTGTCTTGCGATAGGGCTAGCCGTGGAACGACAAACGGGTTGCAGGGTGAGCCAGCACTGCATCCTCCATAGTTACTGAAATTATAGCAATCTTGAGCATAATTCGTGGCGGTGTTGGCCTTTCTTACACTCGCATCCACTGCTGCACTGAAACTGCCGGGAGTGGATTCTCTCAACCTGAAAAGGGAACAATTTGAACCATCAAGTAAAACCTCGTGGCTGCTCGATGTTGCAAGGTTAGAAGAGAAGCCACTTGCGAGGGCGCGTCCGAAAGCACAGATAAAAGCAGAGAAGAAAGCCGGAAGCACCCTTATGATGGAATGTTTTGCTCTGTCGCACCGGACGAAAGCCAGCTGACCGAGTGTCCAAAGACCACTCGCTGGGGAGGCCGAGTTTCGCAAGGTGACTTGGCATTGGTGGTGAAGAGCATCGTGAGGTGAAACATCAGAGTAGTATCGATGGAACAAGATGCGCCAGAAGCGAGAAGATATAATGGTGACAAAAAAGGCTGTGAATGCTATTACGAGATTGCCGTGCTCTCTGGTCAGCGTGAGTGTTGCTCCCGATACCGGGCCATGAGACTATTAATCCAAGATCCTAGGCCAACGCAGTAATTGTCGGCTACCCCGAGACTTTGCATGGCTGTTCTAGTGGTTTGCTAGAACGATAAGGACCGTACTGGGTATGGGACTGGTGTAGGAAACAGTTACTCGGTAGTTGGCCCTAGTTGTAAGCTTTGTTGCGAGCATTATAAAGCATATTCTGACTGACAGGTTGTTGGATGAGGGGACGAACGTCAACAGAGGTAAGGATCAACCCGCACCTCGTGTCGAATAGCGTTGATGGGGGCAGGCCGGGGTATATGTAGCCCTATGGAATGTAGGAAGTCAAGGCACGATGTCTTAACGCGGGATGGTTCGGATTTGACTCCGAGGCTGAGGGCAGAGGAAAATGTGTTAATTGCCTGGAGAGTTCCGCGTCTTGTCCATTTATCTCTCAGTGTCAGACACCTGATATGTGCCGGATGCCAATCCTTAACTGTCACCCCGTCATCATCACGTGTCTCCCGGGTAATCAGCCCCGGTTTCTTCGATGACTGGCCGTCGAACTTCTGGGAGTACGCTTACCATTGCACATTGGTCAAGTGGTTGTGCAATGATCATCGGGGTTCTGGACATCACAGATTCGAAACCTGCCCGAAGTAAACCCTTTGCACCCCCGATTTCCGTAGCTGGTCACTCTCCTTCTTCCAAAAGTATAAGGCTGGCCAGTGAGCTTTTTAGTCAATCAGACTGGCCAATCCTCTCTTTTTATCTCTCTGTGAAGAAGAGTACAAAACAGAAGAATCACCAATTACCGGCATCAATTATGCTGCCAAGTCAACACCTGTAAACCCAGCCACGTTGTGAACAAATCAATGAAGACTGCAACGTCGAATTCCAGACCTTGGAAGATAGTTGAGAGGCGTATTAAATATCCTTTAAACCCTAAGGGTTTGGTCACAGTCTCTACATAGCGTGCCAGTTCCCGCGCCTATCTCACACCATCACCACCCCATTAAAATCCAGTCCTCTCACCTTCGCACCGTCTATCTCCATACCCCTCCTTAATGCTTCTTGTCCTCCTTCTCCTCCGCCCTCCTCACCAAGATATCAAATCTCTTAAATGCCATCCCACCCTCAATGAAGCAACTCCCCATCCACAACCACCAAACCCCACTACCCCTTTCCACACCAAATTTGCTCAGTCTACTCCTCTCCAACCAAGCCGCCTCGGAGATATGAATCGCAATCACCGGCCAAAAAATCGTCTTTGTCAACCACATCCATCCTTGATGGCCCCCAAACGGCCAAAACGCATCCAGAATCCACTCCCGCCCGTCCAGCACCCCCAACTTCACAGTTGCCACAAAGTTAAAATAATAAAACAGCACCGCCAGGAAGATGACCCAGTCGAATGGTCGGGGAGGCATATACTCCCTCACCACAACCCCCTTCTCGTCCTTGCCGTCCTCTTCCGCGGGGGCCTCGAGACCAAGACCGACCCTGGCTTGGTGGGTCATGTCGACAAGCTTGACGCGGCGTTCAGCCCAGTTGGCGAGTTCAGGCTCGAACTTGATGTAGTGCGTCCTTCCAGTGTGAGGTGTCTTCACAGTCATGAACTGGAGGTTGATGTCCACCATTTCCGGGTCGCGGGCCTCATAGTCGTTGAGATTGTTGAAGTGCTGGAGGATGTGCTGGAGGTCGAGGCGGTGGTCGTTGTTCATGTGGGAGATGGTGCGGACTTTTTGGGAGACGGGAATAAGCTCTTCGTCGGCCATTTTGGCGTTTTGCTTCTTGCCCAACTCAAATCTAAAATTGGTAGAGGTGGGTGTGAATCTCAGGGAGACAGAGGGCGGAAATGACAGACCGACGTTGAGTTTGAGATGGGCTGCCAAGGCGGGTTGAGCCGAGTGGTGGGGCATTGGGGACGCAGGGAAGTTCGTCTGATAAGATAACCCCGCCATCACCACCCCATCGTCGTTCCTTCCCCCAGTTGATATGTGCACCTTCCCACACTCAATCCTTGCTCCTTCCCAACAAGCAGAATCACGGTATATATATTAGGTCGACCATGTACCTTCCAACAGCAGCTCCGAAATCTTGATCAGGGCGCCACTTGTTGGTCAGGACAAATGGTCAAGGTGGAGGAGCTGCTGTTGGCCCCCGCCGGGGGCTTGCAACCGATAGCCCCCGAGTTCGATCCGAAGCAAAACCATCCGGTTTTCGCAGCCAGCCACCTCCCTCAGACAGCTGAGGGGGTTGGCCGGTGAGCTTTTTGACCTTTTTCTCTCTCCCGCCATTCGACAGCCTCTATGTAATCTTGGACTACTCGACCAGCTCAGTTATTTTGATGTTGCCCTTCGACTTTTGAAGTAGTGGGATGCTCTTCATAATTTGTTATTATTACAATTAGATCGCCTTCCCAAA